AGTTGAAAATTACGGAATAATTTTGGAACTTACAATTTGAAATTATCATGTGATATAATGAAAAATAAAATAAAAAAATAGGGATAAATCACGTTTTAATATGTATGCGGAATGTCAATTACAGACAAACAACTTTTTAAATCACTTCTACGCATGTAAATTCGTGAAAAAAAAAACCTCCCATCACAAAAACCTTTATACCATATTAATGTGGAATTATGCATTATAAACAAATGCACCAATTCCATACTTGAATTTAATAGTATCACAATCATTATGTAACTAGAAACTTTTTATTACGAGAGCCCATAGAATGTCACACCAACAAGTCAACATCGATTACGTAACATAATGTAGGTATCAATTTATTTATTTAAAGTTAATGACATATGTGCTTCGCAAATCTTACGTTAACATATTCATCCGTTATGATTGCTGATAAACCGATCTAAGCATTTTTGATGCATGCAATTTTGTTCATTTCATATATTTTTTTACAACACACATTGCATATTTCATATTATTATTTATATGATTAAAAAAAAAAAAAAAAAAATTGCGTATCAATATTTGTGTTTTTCAAGTTTTTTTTTGCATAGTATACGTATAAAATTATATCAATTATGGTTTCATATAAATATGCATCTTATATACTCAACCTGATGAATATATTTTCATTCAAAATTTTTTAAACGTTATCTGACATGGACCAAAGTGATTCTCATTTCAAAAGTAGTTACCACAGCCATTTATATCAATTTCATTCTCAACAATTCCCCGAACCTTTAGTTCCTTTAACATCGTCTACTGACTTTTGTAATAATAATAGCGAAGAACCTTTGACCAGACATGATTTACAACGACTTAAAAAAATTGTTGATATGATATTTTCGAATAAATCTATTGATTCTTCGGAATTTTCGGCTCAAAAATTATTCTCTACGGAGGATAAAATTTTGTCTTCTATCATTAGCCACCTTCCACTTAATGTTAATCAACCTTCGGAAATTAAACAAATTATGCCACCATTAAATACATTAAATATTATGTTAAATCATACTTACCCTAATCTTCTAAGTAAACTTATTGATAATAATTCTGAATTTTTAAATCAGCAGAATACGATGAATTCCTCTTCTATTAATAATAAAATTCCTTCCAACACTCCTCTTTGTATTCCATCCAAAGAACTATGCAAACAATTAATTAATGATTATTTTACCCGATTTAATGTTATCATTCCTATTATTAATCGACAAAAATTTAATAATCAACAAAATTATCATTATAAAACAATTTCCGAAATGTTGATGTGTTCAATTTTGGCTGTGGCAGCTGCGAGATATTCTGATGATCCTTCTATCCAAAAAACTCCCGATAAACCTGGTGGTATATTTTTCGATTCTGCAAAGGTATTTTTTATAATTTATCTTTTGATGGTGTTACTAATATACAATATTGTTCATGACTTAACTGTTTTTTTCTTTTAGAAATTATTGGATAAAAAATATAATACACCAAGTTTGGAAACCATTCAAACATTATTGCTTTTGGTACATGCAGAGACCAGTATGACACGCATCCATAGTCAGTTAATGTTTTTTGGCATGGCTGGTACTTACATTTTTTAATCATCTGAGAGAGATATTATTACATTATTATCATTAATTTCATTTATATATTAATTTGTAGCTCAAATGGCTCATAGCTTGCACCTTGAACGAAATGATACTTCTCTTTCCGATGATGAAAATGAAGAAAGACGCAGAATATTTTATTGTGTTTACTGCTCTGAAAGGTAATTATTATATTGTGTTTGAATGATATTTATCATACTGTGTTGAATATCTTTCATTATTAATAACTTTATATACTAATCATGTTAATGATAATTTTTTAGATGGACAACGTTCATGTTTGGGAAGCCTTCTAGCATTTATGATATAAATATCAACATTCCTTTCCCTACTTTAGCTTAATTTGATACTTCCACAAAAAAGTTCTTTATAGCGTGGATAAAATTATCACGTATAATTGGTCAGATTTGGTGTTTGGGTTATTCTTCTCAGTCTGTAGCAAATTGGTTCTTTCATACAAATGATCAAAAAAGTATGTTAAAACAAATACGTTCTGAGTTAACAAAATGGTTAAGAGAATTATCTGATGATCTACGATTTCAAAGTTTATCTAATGCCGATTCAAGTTCTAACAATCTATCGAATTTTTCGGTTTTTACTGGTAAATATTTTTTTATACATTGATTTTTTGCGCCAACATATATTATATATATATATATATATATATTCATATTTTATATTTTGAATTATTTTAGGATATATCAATATTCTTTTCCACACATGTATACTATTACTCCATCAACCTTATCTAACTAGAACAAGTGGTCCAAACATTGAAGTACAAAAACATGATCCAGATGGTCCTATTAAAATATGTCTTACCGCTGTTAATACAATTACTGAAATTGCTAGAACAACTCAAAATTTTGATGATAAAGCATTTTGTTCTTTTCATTTTCCTATTTATGGTTTATTACAATCGACTATGTTAGAATTAATCATTATGAATGATTCTCAAGAATTTGATTCGATTGTTAAAAAAGCTTTATTAAATTCTATAGATGAATTAAAATTTGCTGCTAAAAATTCTAATATTGCTTTTTTACATGAAGAAATTAATG